CTGTCCAGCGGTGTCAGTACACTATTGCCTGCTGGACACCTTCGGCCATTAGATTTGCTAATCCAGTCTGACCGCTTAGCTCTGATGAACATAGTCATTACTACATCAGGGTTTGTGGTGTAAGAGCAAGATCTGCATCTTGGTCTTACTCTCGAGACGTTTCCATTGCAAACATTTGCAAAACTGTTTTTTGGAAGTCTCCTTCAACCTCCTGCAGCTTGAGGGATGTCCTGCAGAGTGACACCGCATATGGCAGGACAATCCTACTGTCTGCAGCGTAGAGGTCATAGGGACCTCCTGTAGGACGGACGACAAGTTATTATGAAGTTCCTTTACCATAAATTCTTACATTCCTCGTCTCTATGTAAAAGTGTCTTGTCAGCATTAGATGTGTTGTCCTCAACCCCCCACCTAGACCGGTACTACTCTGCACATGTAGTGACTGTTTGGGTAGCTAGAGCGCCATAGACTCCTCCCCCACATTAAGTGTGGGTGGAGTCTACTAGAGAATACCTACCCAAATAGTCCCCTCCCGCCCGTCCTCCCCACTCTGGCTCTGACCTTTTTGAGTTGCTTTCGAAAAGGATGATCATGGCGGCAAGGCCGTGCTGCATTGTGGGAGGTCAGGGTGCACCACGGGTGATCAAATCTTTTCAGCGAATGAATAATACGCACATGGGGAATTTGCATATGTAGTGACTGGGTAGATATTCTCTAGTAGACCTGACCCGCTCTTAATGTGGGGAAGGAATTTAACCCTACATGGCCCATCCCCTTTAAAATCAAACCTCCTGGCGTTGTAGGGATTATCATGCAAAGGCTTTCTGAGTTAGCAGTGTGGACATCTGTAGACAGACGCATATTACAATGAATGTGATGGCTGCCCATGAATAAGGTTCGATTTCCCCTGTATCGCATTGCATTTTACAACAGAGTATCAACCAAACTACACACTTTCTAAAATAAATGGCACATTATGCAGTGCCAAATGCACAGGGCTTTCCCATCTCCATGGGCACAATGTCCTTTTGAATACACATATGCTTTAATATCCAGTCTGTCAGGAGCTGACTTCATTGGTTCCCAAACAATTGGTGTTCTTTTGAGATAGCCAAAGCAGGGAACCAGTTATGCTCATTCATGTCGCACAGTTGGACATTGCGTTCAATTAAGTTTGACTTCTAAAGGTGTTAATTGGATATTGGAAGTGTTGCAAATGGAAATCAATTAATGGAAGTGTGAAAACAAGTTCTACCAACACTGGCTAGAATGATACAAACAGCGACAGGTGTTTTATTTTGAAATAAGGTTACTCAGTGCCCATACAGTGCAGACCATGCTGGCGTGTTGGCTGTTTTCCATCGTTCCATCAACCAATTTCCTCAACTTTGAATTATTGTGATCAATTCTTAATATGTTTCTTTCGTTTAAAACAACTGTGCAATGTGTGCAAAAGTTTACAGAAAATTTTGGAGCCAAGGGTATTCCTGAATGTTCAGTGTAGCAGTATTCCTTATAGTGGCATTCCACTGTGTCGGAGAAAAAATTTAGATGGGAGGTGGGGCAGAATTCACACCCAGCTGTCTAAAGGTTAAAACCAAATAAACAAACTAAAATATCTGACTCGGGAGCAAAACATAAAATTTGCAACTGC